GGTATGGGAAGGATGCCAGTCATCAGCCCTAAGCTCAGGAAGGTGACAGGTAAGCCTCTGTGGAGGCTTTACAATCACGCTGACATTTCTGTCCTGAGCGGAAGAGAATGCCACCAAATGACTATATATACATCGATAGGTATTGATGCCCTGGTATATCAATTTTAGAGCTGCGATTCAGATTCTTTAAAAATGCCTATTCGTGAATTGTTCTCTTAAAATATTGCCATCTTCACCAGTGACTCCTTCATGGAGGTTTGAGATGAGCTTTGGGGCAATTCCAGGTGGAATTTCATTTTATGGTGCAAATTCAATAGACTTCATGGCAACTGACAGAGTAATGAATGTATTGTATGCACTGCACAGCTGTCTTATGGGCAGACACATGTTAGTTGCATCTATGTTGACTCTAAGCCATAATCAACATTTGAATCAACATTATAAGCAATTTTTGTGTACCCAGTGATGTATCTCATACAGTATCAGTACAGCTTATGGCCATAAAGGACAAGAAGAAAAAGTAAAGCCTATTTGTGAAGAATGTACATTGGAGTTGCCCTCCACTTAGACACCATGCTGCCCTGGAATACCTGGACTATGTTGCCCTTTTGTACAATTTCTGCCTCTGGTCTCATGTGCTTATTTTAGCGAATGCTAAGGCTAGAATATGCTATTGACGGCAGCTGCAGTTTGCTTTATTTGCTAGACTGTTTTTCAATGTACGGACGAACTCATTCTAAATGTGCAGAGATGTACAGAGATGTTTTTATGCTTTCTAAACTATAAAGAGGCTTCTGACTCCTTCAACATTACCTACACTTTATGACAGTGTTCAGGCCTGGTGATGCCCATAATGCTGGAAGGGGGTGACATGCTCCCCATTATCTAGAAGCATTGGAAGTGGGTGGGATATATTAAACAGCAAGTGAACATTTTGTCACTAAAGTTGATTTGTTAGAAGCAGAAAAAATAGGCAAGCATAAGGATTTGAGTGTCTTTGACAAGGGCCTAATTGTGATGGCTAGACATGGGTCAGAGCAACTCTAAAACTGGACCTACCAAAAGTGGTCCAAGGGAGGAAGTCTGGTAAACTGGCGACAGGGTCATGGGTGGCCAAGGCTCATTGATGAACATGGGGAGCAAAATCTGGCCCACCTGGCAACTTACAGGTCTTAAAGGATCTGCTACTGATGGTTTGGTGCCAGATACCACAGCATGCCTTCAGAGGTCTAGTGGAGTCCATGCCTCGATGGGTCAGAGCTGTTTTGGTGGCAAAAGGGGGGCCTACTCAATATTAGGTGGGTGCTCATAATGGTATGGCTGATTGGCGTACATTCTAAAAAACTACCTATTTCAACTTTGATATAGATGGTTCATTGTGTTTTGGTCATTGCTGGTACAAGGTATAGAAACCAAGGCTTCTACTAAGCAAGTCTTTGGGAATAATGAGCCAAGATTACCAAACATGTTATAGGAAAAGTGCTGAAAGGAACCAAAAAACCCTCAACTAGATTACTAAGGCATAAGATTGCCTTCCTAAAACAGGAGGCACTTACATGTTATCACTTAATAACAAATACGGAAAAACAAGTTGATGGAGCAGAGCAAACTAATGAAAGATGTCCAGACAGTCCTCCTACTACACAACTATTGACTGCACAACTATCAGATATACTGTATGAAAAGAAAGTTCATAGTCCACTGTGATATACTGATATCCACTTTTTAGTGATCTTCTTCAATGTGTATAAAACTTTAAACAGTTACCAGATTCTTCCGACCATAAACGGTCTATTAACGCTTAAACTGCTCCTTATCAACACAAGTGTTAATCTTCCCATCCCATTCCAAACAAGCCGACAGACTTCTTCGACCATTGTAATGGTCTAATAACTTTTCATCAACTCCTCATAGACACTGGGTGATTTTCTCTCCACCGGAATTCAAATAGCCAACTCACAGATGAATCAAGTTGTTTTTCATTTCCCCAGAATACAAAAAACAAACATAGCATATAATCTTCCAAAATATTTTAATGGTATGTGATCTAAAAACTTACAAGAAAACAATGTATACAGCGTATACAACCAAATTTAAACCAATGTCATCAAGTAGGCTCGTTCCCTCGTTGGGGACGAGCCTACACGCTGACGCTACATGCATTGAGAGAGACGTGCACTATGCCGAGATATTGAAATGAATGACCAACCAGTATGCAAGAAGTGAGCTAGGTATAGACCAGCTATTATTTTCTATTAGCAGGCTGGTGGTCCGGTCCGGAGCTGTGCGATCAAAATTGTGCTTGCAGGACCGCAGGCATAATGTGCCTTGCGATCCCGTGCGGCTGACCGCATTGCGGCCGGAGGGCGTGGCTACGGTGCCATTCACTTCAATGGCTCACCACGCCCCCTCCTGCCCAACAAAAAAGTGAGCCGGCCGCATGCAGTGCGTTCTGGACAGAATCAGGCCGGAACGCACTGCATCTGGTGTGAACCTAGCCTAAGTAAATTACAGACTTGGTGAAAACATTGTGCTGTAATCATAGGGACGCAATGATACAAATAATTGTATCTGTTAGGTCTCAACCTTTCAGATGTTTAAAAAGAGCTTGTTAAAGTTTGTCAATGCCTGTATAGTGGTAACAAGTGCCTTTGAAGCTTTTCTGCCAGCAGTGAAAAACCTGGGCCAGCTATAAGCAAAAGGTTGTTTTTTCTTTAGCATTTTCATTGACTTGCATTATTAGCGCCATCGTAGCCAGGAGCCTAAAAAGTTGCAGCGGAGATTTTCATTACTGCAAAATGATTCTAGTAAGTATTCATATGTACATTCATGGATACTTACATTAATGTTGACAAAGCTTTGCCAAAAGCTTGTTGTGAAAGGGTAAACTAATGTATAAGACCCTAGAGATTTGAGCCGGTGGCTGAAGGTGGATAGACAGTGGCTTTTACTCATAATGGTGATTAGCCTTTTAAGAAATGTAAGGAAAAGAGACTGTATGAAGTTATGTAGCAGCAATAAAGTAATATTAACCCCTTCATGACTGAAGACTTTTTTTCCCCCAATTTTTTGCGCCCATGTTATATTCCACATTTTAGGCTTGAAAGTTACTTAAAACCCCAAAACATTATATATTTTCTGAGAGCCAAGACCCTATAGAATAAAATGTTGGCAGTTGCAAATTTTTACGTTGTACGATATAAGCGCACCTCCTTATCAAACCCCAAAACGTAGTGTAAAATGTACTTAAATGCCCCAAAATACAATAAAATACCAATTTTTTATAAAATATAAAAGATGAGGTTACATCAAGTAAATAGATACCCAACATGCCTAGATTAAAAATTGTGTGCGTCCGTGAAATGGCGACAAACTTCAGTACCCCAAAAAGTCTATAGACGACTTTTTAAAAGCCCAACAGGTCATCTGTTTAGAGATACCCAAAAATACTGGCCTTAGAATTATTGTTCTCACTCCGGTGTGCGCGGCGATACCCAACATGTGTAGCGCGTTCGTCGTTTTCATACATAGGCACACCCGATGCATGTTTACGCGGCGACGAGCATGCTCTCGGGGGCAGAGGACTTTAAAAAAAATGTTATATTATTTTTAGATTTTTTAAATTTAATTTTAAAAACTGTTTTTTGTTTTTTTTTACTTTACTTTGATTGCTATCACATAGGGGGGCTTACAAGCCCCCCCATGTGATAGCAGATGGTAGTTACAGGTACTCTTTAAGGTGATGCTGGGGTCCAAAAAACCCCAAGTATCACCTTTACACTAGAAATAAGCTATTGAAGTGCAGATCGGTAAGGTATCCAATAACTCATCCAACGTTATTTTTTTTCTGTGATTTGTCCCTTTTTAAAGAAACTGTATTTTGACTGGTCTTGCAGAGTGCTGGAGACAGTTAGAAAGCAGAGGTAGGAGAGGCTCCTGCCCTAGCTGCACCCCGCCACAGTGTAGGAGGTGGGTGACTCTCCTGCCTCTGGGTCGGGCCAGCCCTGCTACACAGTACTAGATGTAATAAGCCATAACATATAAAAGAAAGCTGTATTTAGAGAAACATGTAATTCAGCTGCTGATCTCTCATTCTGGAAATGTGAGTTTCCTGGATGGCATGCTAATTTTCCAGAGCACAGTTCCACACAGACTCCAGACTCCACTCCCAGGTTATATAATGAGAGCCTTTAGCTAAGATAGGCTTTTTTTGTATTTTACATTTCCTGGTGAGCAGAGGGCTCTATCCATTCTCTAAAGTGAGTCAGCAGGTTCCCTTCAAGGCTCCAGCATCACACAGCTATGCAAAACCTTTCCAGTAGCAGTAGGGCTATGTGGCGTCTCAGGATGCTGTGCGGGGTCTAAACAGGGCTATACGGCATCTCAGAAGGTTGTGCGGGGTCCGGCCAGGGCTGTGCGGGGTCTGGCCAGGGCTGTGTGCCCTCTCACCAGGGCTGCGTGCTGTTTCAGCAAAGCTGTGTGCGGGGTCTGACCAGGGCTGCGTGCAGTCTCAACAAGGCTGCATGCGGGTCTCACCAGAGCTGAGCACGTTCTCACCAGGGCTGTGTGCTGGTCCCCCCAGGGCTGTGTGTGGGTCTAACCAGGGCTGCGTGTGGTCTCCCCAGGGCTGGGAGGTCTTACCAGGGCTGTGTGTGGGTCTCACCAGGGCTAAGCACAGTTTCACCAGGGCTGAGCGCGGTCTCAACAGGGCTGCGTACAGATCTCACCAGGGCTCTGCGGTCTCACCAGGGCTCCATGCGGGTCACGCCAGGGCTGCATGCGGTCTCACCAAGGCTGTGTGCAATCTCACTGGGGCTCTGTGCAGTCTCACCAGAGCTGCGTGCGGGTCTCCACAGGGCTGTGCGGGAGGCGGGTCTCACCATGGCTGTTCTAGCTGGTGTGGTGGTGGGTCTCCCCTTATGGTAGCCGAAGTCAGTAAAAAATTTAAAGGGCCGGTATTGGCTTTAAGTATCTGGGCATTTTCACGAGTACTTGTGATAATGCCCAGTATCGGGACCTATATCGATACTACTATCGGTATCAGTTCATCTCTAATAATTTTCCTTCAAATAACTGGTCTGGGAATATCTGTCGGCTCCTCCTTACCCTCCTCCACAGCCATAAACGTGCATGCTTGGTTGATCCATGCCTGAAAAAACTTTCACAAGAAAGATCTTTCAGTTGTTGGAATTTGCCAACTCATCTGACAATGAGTAGCTAAAATTATATACATTTTGTGATTAATTATATTCCCTCACAGTAACTGCATTACTACCACTTTAATCCAAACTACAAGCAAATATAAAAGATACACATTTTTGCATGTACATGGCATGACATATGGTAATGTAAAACCATGCGTTCTGGTGCACTGTGTTGGTCTTGTCAGATTTTAGGTTGATTGTGGTGCATTGGCAGCCCTTTCAAATGATTAAGCTGCTTTAACACAATGCCTGTTAATGTGTGACATAACACACATTATCATGTACTGTATATTAACACAAAAGCAACACAGAGCGCCTCCATAGTGTAAAACTTTTATTTGATGAGTACAACACGCAAGTGAAAATGTACTTACACGAAAGCCAATGATCATAAGCGTAAAAGGAAACGATAAAATATAAAATCTCCAGCAGGGGAAGTCTGAGGGGATCTCCAAATCAGCGTCCTCTGCTCCCGTATGTTTTTTAAAAAGGTCTACGCGTTTCAGGGGCACGCCCCCTTCATCAGAACCTGAGGTACCTGAGGTTTCCTTTTACGCTTATGATCATTGGCTTTCGTGTAAGTACATTTTCACTTGCGTGTTGTACTCATCAAATAAAAGTTTTACACTATGGAGGCGCTCTGTGTTGCTTTTGTTTCCCAGATCGATGGTCGTTGTTGACTGGTGGGAGCTGCCTCTATGGTGTACCAATGAACTTTACAGCCGGATTTCTCTGCAAACCGGGGGGCGCCGGTATTGCTTTTTTCAGTATATTAACACACTGCAAAGGTGTGTAGGGGCCCTTAATCAGCTACTACAGTTGTGTGAATCATATACAGTATGTCACTAACTAAATTATGTCAGTTTACTCCACCTTGAATACCATTTTATCTGTGGGATGATCAGCTGTCATTTTGGATGCTAACTGATATTCCAAAGCTCATATAACAGTTACAATCTTCTTTTTTTTCTCTCAGCTTGTGTTGTTCTTAACCAAAACCTACAGATTAAAGAACATAGTCCTGTGGGCACTGTTGTAACAGAGATAGAACTTGGAGAGGGCTACACCGTGGAATTGGAAGAAGAGGACACCTTTAAATTGAATGGATCATCTTTGGTAATAGGTCGAGATGTGAACTTTGAGGTAAGACTCTTCCTTAATTTTGTAAGAATTTCTGGTATCCTAAAATAAATGTTTTGCAGTCTTCTGCCCAGTATCTCTAACATACAGTTAGTAGGTTATCTTTATTTAGTCTGTCATCAAGCTAAAACCCAGCTATTATTCATTAGAATTGGATAGAGTTGAAAAGGAAAAGCATCTGTCAGGTTTTTATTGCTGTAGACAAATTCATCCAATCCCTAGTAAATCCCAAAAATAAAAAAAATAATTTTAAAATAATGCCACATTCGTGTGTTCAAATGTTGTTTTGCACTTGAAATAATAAAACTTGTTTAATATACTTTAAGATAGAGCGGGAGAAAATGAAAAGAAAAAGTGAACTGAAGTCAGTGAACTTTTTGGGTTGGTTTTAATTATTTTAAACCAAATATTTAATTATTATCAATAAGTATATCACAAATTGGAGACACCCTATAGAAGTGCATTAGGACATTAGACCACTCAATCCTATTATTTCAGTGCAAGGTGGAGGCTAAATCGCCCATTGTCCTTTTTTTACAATTCTCAATGACTGTGATTGCAAGCTCTTTGCACCTCCCACCACCCCTTGTGGTGGAAGCTCATTAGCATCTATGGCTGCATATTGGCTTCATCTTGGATGGAGCTATTAGCTGAAGGGAAATCTCAGTACCTGAGTCACCCAAAGGTGCCAACCGGAAATGAAAACTGATTAGAAAGTTCACAGAAATAGGAATGTAGAAATTATTTTTGTCACTTGAATCCTGTAAACTCTCATGTTGAAATTGTGTCAAATGTTTTTGTAGAGTCAGTTCAATCAGAAGTGATATTTCAGTTTTGGATTAACATGATGAAGAAAACATTATGAACGGGGACAGACAAAAATACAAATACTTTTATTAGTAAAATAGGGAAAGATTAGAAACTTTGTTGGGTTTTTGTTGCTGTCTGTGGTCCAGTTAAATAGATTTTCTTACTTCCTGTAAGGTTACTGGGGCTGGAAGTAAGAAGAAATGTCCCCAATGGGGGCACAGGCAGCAATAAAAACCTCAAAGAGGTACTAATTCATCCTTGCCGCATCCAGAGCACCAAAAATGTATAAGGTACAAGTAAAGATTCTTGACAAAGATTTGTGACAATGCCATGCACCTGTTTTCATCCCACTGCAGTGGAAGCAGGCACAGCTTTCATGAGAGTGACAACACTGCTCCAAATTCAGGAGTAGTGCAGCATTATTGCCGTACCATCACAGGAAGCTGCATTAGGTGGACTTCACTGGCATGATCAACAGGTATTTGGGGGCCTTTGCAGGGACACAAAGAGACAAAATTAAGTGTTGCAGTAAATATTTTTAATGGGAGGCCATAGTTCTACTTTAATAAAATATGGAGTAAAGTTCATGCTATTAACAAACCTTACATTTAAAAATAATATGACTTCCTTCCACTGTCATTGTAGTGCTGTATTACTTACATTTGGTTTGACAAACTGGTTTGTAAGAAATTTAAATGAGGTTAAGTTGTGTTATGTGTTACATGTTTGTGAAAATATATAGCAGATGAAAGCAATAGGTTGGTGTACTAAATGAGTATAGCCTGGTCACTAAGGAAAGAAAATAGTCAATTTGCAAAGTCATTTTTATTTAGCTTAGTAAATGAGATGAAGCTGCGCATCCAATCATGCGCAAGCAAAAAAAAATATTTTTTCATTTCCTTGCACATGATTACGTTTTTTTGCAAACTGAATTTTTACCACATTCACAAAGATAAGTGGAAATTTCTTAGCATAGTAAGCATGATCTACTCTTTTAGTAAATCAACCTTATTGAATTCATGTTTACAAAAATCTTGGTGTTTGTTAAAATTGTGCTCTTTTAATTTTTTACTTTAGGTAGAACAAGTGTTAAGAGCTATACTGATATGCAGACTCAATGGAATTTATGTGAGTATAAAGATATTTATTACCCTCTCCAAAAATATAATAGCTTGTACACTGTATACTGAGCTTTATGATTAAGCATTTGCATGTGGTGCAAAATGCATCAAGGCGCTCCATGACTGCTAACGGTTTCGTATCTTAAGATTTAATTATAAACCTCCCATTTTCTTCCATTGTTTGGTGGACCTACTTTGTCTTCTTCTGGATATTGTACGCTGTTCTAAAGAATGTCTTACCACAGTGTGTCCTCCACTATTTAGGGGCCCATCTCTTCTCCACCCTGTCACTGTTTTTTTATATCTCTACAGAGGCTACACTTGTTGGTGGATCCAGGAATCAGGTGAGTATTAGGCGAAAAAAAAAGTTTGATTTTATTTCTATTATATTTTATTTCTATTCTTAGTTCTATAATGGTATTGTAGTACTTTCAGGTGGAATACAGCTTCATAAGATATCAGCTAGGGAACTACAAGTCCCAGCATGCCCTCATTGCCCCTGTACGCCCATAACTCTGGTTACGCCACTGCGTCTGGTATACCTATGCTCAAATCCTAAGACTCTATGCAACCACAGACCCCCAGGCTCGCTATCCATTAATGCCCTTGCTGTATCCACATGCACCCCAATTACATGTATTTATATACCCCTAGACTTACTGCATTCTCATATTTATGAGTTAATTTACTGTAATGCTTAGATACTTACTATACCCATAGAGTTGAGCACCTGTGGCCTCATGCTTATACTAACTCTTCAAGCATGTGGAATGATAAGCAACAAGATATATTGGGTGCTGCCATGGAGACATGTACCAATGCAAAAATAAATGTTACAAAATCCATTCAGCTGGCTTTTTATGTGTCTTTGAAGGTGACATGATTTTATGAAACAAATAAGGTCATTTTGAAATAAATTAATGGCAGTAGTACTATCAAGGAAGAACTGGAGCTGGAAGGACATTTTGCAACTAATTAGGTAAATTGGCAACAGGTCAGTAACATTATTGGGTATAAAAAGAGCATCTTAAGGTGCCCATACACCTTACAATTATCGTAAGATAATCGTATGCGATGTAGTGGGCAGTGTACAACCGCAAATACTTTACAATCGTACGACTTTTGACTTTCAAGCATGTTTGAAAACTTTGGTCGATTGTACGATTTTCGCAAGGTTAGTGGCGTTTCTGTACGTTAAAAAACGTACGATCTACACTGCTCATGCGCAAACGAAAATACGTGCGCTCGATTACCGCAATTCGTCCAGGTGCTTTTCTTTAATGACGGCTAATTGAACCTTGCGATAATCGGAGCATGATGGGGCTGCCGTACGACAATTGTACGACGGTTCGATCATCGGATGAAAAGTTTTGTCCGATAATCGTAAGGTGTATGTCCACCTTTAGAGAGTAAAGATGAGCAGAGGTTCACCAGTCTGTGAAAAGCTGCATTTAAAAATTGTCGAACAATTTCAGAATAATGTTCCTCAACATAAAATTGCAAAGACTTTAAATATATCACCATCCACGGTACATAATATCATCAAAAGATTCATAGAATCTGGAGAAATCTCTGTGCGCAAGGGACAAAGCCAAAATGTAATATTGGATGCCGGTGATCTTCGGGCCCTCAGGCGGCACTGCACTAAAACAGGCATGATTCTGTGATGTACATCAGGAATACTTCTAAAAATCACTGTCTGTGAACACAGTTCACTGTGCCATCCAAAAATGTAAGTTAGAGCTCTATCTTGCAAAGAAGAAGCTAGATCTGAAAATGATTCAGAAACGCAGCCGTCTTCTCTGGGCCAAAGCTCATTTAAAATGGTCTGTCGCAAAGTGAAAAACTGTTCTGTGGTCTCACTAATGGGCTCTGCGTCCTCTGGACTAAAGACTGAGTTCAAAAGTCTGCATCTCTGGTGGTATGGGGGTGCATTAGTGTGTATGGAATGGGCAGCTTGCACACCTGGAAAGGCACCATTAATGATGATATACATATACAGATTTTAGAGCAGCATATCCTCCTATCCAGGCAGTATTTTTTTCATGGAAGGCCTTGCATACAGATGTTCCTCACTTACCGACTTACCTGTTTTGCGACCACTCGCACTTACGACGGACCGCCGATCGACCTCCGACCTTCCGCGTCAGCGTCAGTGCGACGGGTCGCCGGCGGAAGTGACATCCCCCGATCTTCACTGCAGGTCTCGGTAAGTATTTCCATTGCCGGATGTACAGTACACTGTTCGGTACTGTACATCGGCAACGCTATACAGTACTGTACTAATGCAGTATAGTACTGTATAGAGTTCCTCACTTAACGACCAATCCGTTTAACGACCTGGTCGTGGGAACGGAACTCGGTCGTTAAGTGAGGAATACCTGTATTTCATTAGGACAATGCAAAACTGCATACTGCATCTATGACAACAGCATGGCTTCATGATAGAAGAGTCCGGGTGCTTAACTGGTCTCCCTCCAGTCCAGACCTTTCACCAAGTGAAAATATTTGGGGCATCTTGAAATGAAAAATACGACAAAGAAGACTCAGGACTGCTGAGCAGTTAGCATTCTATATCAGGCATGAATGGGACAAAATTACTCTCCAAAAACTCCAGCAACTGGTCTCCTTAGTTCCCAGATGTTTACAGAGTGTTGTTAAAAGATGCTACACCATGGTAAACATGGCCCTATCCCAACTATTTTAAGACGTGTTGCCATCAATTTCAAAATGACCTTTTTTTTTAACTTAGAATGCTCCATTTTCTCAGTTTAAATTTGATATGTTTTCTATTTTCTATTGTGAATAAAATATGGGTTTAAGAGATTTGCAAATCATTGCATTCTATTTTTTATGTAGATTTTACACAGCGTCCCAACTTGTTTGGAGTTAGGGTTGTACACTGTGGGCCATTATTATTTTTTATAGGGGGGTTCTTAAAGGATTTTGTTCTATGGTGTTGTCATTTTAATTTACATTCTAATTTTTTTTTTGTGAATGAATAACACTAGGGATACATAGTACTATGTACCCCATATTCATTCATGTAGTAATGAGGGTTGGATATCTGGGTGCCCCCTTATTTTAAAAAGGGGTTTTCAGATTTTTATTGGTCCCCCTTGCAGACCCCACATCCACTAGGTCAGGGATATGGGCATTAGGATCTTGTCCTCATTAACATGGAGACAAGGTGCCCTTTGCAAGGAGCCCTCCCAATGTGTAGGGTAAATAGCCTGGTATGGTTCGGGGAAGGGGGAGCACAAGTTCACTGCCCCTCACCTTTCCTGGCCAGCCAGGCTGCCTGCTTGAATAAGGGTCTGATATGAATTTTGAGGGGGAACCCATCTCACTTTTTCCTACAGTACACCAATGGACAGTACACCAATGTACAACAATGCTTACTGTCCCTTTAAGAAAAAAATTGGTGTGAGATCCCCTTCAAAATTAATTCCAGACCCTTATCCAGTGGATAAGGGTCTGGTTTGGCAAACTTTCTACATATGGACAGTTTGCCCCTTCGCAGAGCAGTGAACAGGTTGAGTTCAGGTCAAACTCATGGTCAGCCTGAGCCAGAAGCTAAACTCTGGTCCTATAACTTTACATGCTGACCCGGGCCACAGCAGCATTGGACTCCATGTCCGTTCCCTCCCTAGTAGGTTAATAAATTGTGGTTTATTGTAGAGTGGTGATATGAGCTGTTTGCTTTGTATTTAGTGTTTTTAATTGGTGTTGTGTGTAATCAGGCAGTCAAGAAGATGTCTTTTCAGGGATTCTTTTTACGGATGTACTGATGTACTTAACTTGGATTGTGGACTTTTGTTTTCATGAATAAAGTTCTATATATGATTAGTATGCTTTTTCATTAGACATGTGCAATTCGTTTCAGAAATTCAGACATTGGGATGCATCAGACGTTTGAGCAGGAAAGGAGGGGGGGGATAAGCGTGTGACCACCAGCCCTGGGCACCATACCAGGCCACATGGCCCTCCATGTGGCGAGGGTACTCCCTGGAAAAGCTCCTTGTCCCCATGTCAATGGGCCTTTTCCCCAAATCCCTGGTGCGTTGGTTGTGGGGGTCTGCATGCAGGGGTGCCACGTACCTGATTGGAGACTGAATGTGTAAGGAGGCCTCCCTTGCACCTCGTGGAGTTGGAGACAGAGTCCAAGCAGACCGCAAGTGGCACGGGTGCCAGTAGTTGTAACACCATGCAAGCTGGAGTCCAGGTGCTGATTGCAGAGCAGGGCAAGATCCGTAATCAAGGTCAAATGAGTCAAGGTCACTCCAGTCGGGCAGGCAAGGTACAAAGGGATGAAGCAGAGGCAAAGTCCAGTAACGATCCAAGGTCAGGGGCAGGCAGCAAACAAAAATGGTCAAGAACATATCTGGGTCAGAAGTCTGGCAATACAAGGCAAGGAATCGCAGGAACACAGGGGAGCTGTAGGACAATCCAGCGATTTGGAGACAGGCAGGCTGGGTTTAAATTGTGTGATCCATCAGCACATTGTGCCACTTCCTGTGTGCCAGCTTTTCACGGCTGTTCCGTGGCGTGCGTGCATGCACGCAAGTGCCCGTGTTCCAATGGTATGGAAAACGGGACTCCACGCATGCGCACTAACAGATGGTCTCTGACAAGGGGGGCTTACCTGAATCTGGGTGTCCCGGTTTCATAAAGGGGGCAACTCATTCCCCTCATGAATGAGTAAGGTGTAGTTGTTACCCGTACTCAATCACCATATAAAAACACTCAAATTGTAAATAAACACACCACACCATAAACGAAAGTCCTTTATTTGGAAAAAAAAAAAAGGTTTTTGACAAGTCTTTTATTAAAAAAAACAAAAACAAACACAAGGTGTACATCGATGTAATCCAAAGGTCAATCACATCATCCAGCGCTGTCGATCCATATCGAACACAATGGACGACGCCCACCGACCCATCCGATCCCAACGAACACTGCCACAAAATAACAGCTCTGACCCAAATGTCAACAAAGGGGTGGAGTGAGTCGTGACATCATGGGACTTGCTCCACCCATTTGATGACATTCGGGAGCAGGACTGTCACTAGTAATTCTGCTCTCAAATGCTATTCAGAAGCAGAGCTATCATAATGAGTCATTGACGTAGATCAACCCACTATCATAATGAGTCATTGATGTTGATCCACCCACTATCACTAGGAGTCATTGACGTGGATCCATCCATAAAAATAAAAAAAAGTTTGTCTTCAGCTGCACTTTAAATACAGAGTTCACATACATGGGCCTCAGAAATATAACCACAGCAGTTCTATACTAACACGGCCAATTGATTTTATTAAAGCAAAGCTCTCAAGAAAGATAGGGGGTTTGAAAATACTTTGCCTACCTCACTGTAGGTGTGTGTGCTCCTTCAAATTATGAACGGCTACGGGCCAGATGGTGGTAGAGCACCGCTGGCTCACGGCGGAGGAGGGTGATGCTGCTGTGGTGACAGAGGCTGTGCTGCTGGGGTCGTATGCAGCTCTTACGGGGTTGGTTTATAGGGGAGTGGGGGCGCCATATCCCCTGACAGCCTCTATGGAGGCAACTCTTAGGGCTTGGGACGAGGTGTGTAAAATCCTGTACCCAGGGGGTGCTCCATTATCGCCACATGCTCCCTTGTGGAACAACCCAAGACTGAAAACTAGACCTCATCATCTTGTAGTTTACACCTCAATATCCGGCCTCGCCATGGGGGGGAGAGATAATTACGGGAGACTGTTAGACTCATTGTGTTTATCCGGGCACTCAGCCTCCCCTGTTGTGGGGAATATTTTAATATTTAATGTTTAATTGTTAATCAGTTTGTAATGTTTTACTATAATAGATGTTGTAGAACTCATGTTAATATGTGTTTAAATTTGTTGGAATTTTAGCAATCCAGAGTGCTTCATATCGTAACGGTAATTAATATAAATGACAATCCACCAATCTTCAAGCAGACTGTTTACACATTCATTATCTCAGAGGTATGTAATTAAAAATGGTTGAGTTGTTTCATTTATATGTTAAATTTAAAAAAAACACTCCTTTAATAGTATAAGTTCACATTTAAATGTACACTCCTGTCTAAATGTAGTGTTAGGCCTCATTCACATGGACAGGAGACTCCATCATCCTTTGAAAAGCGATCCATTTAAAAAAAAAAATCCCAATGGGGACATTGTATTGCAATACTGCACCACAACCACATACGCAGCCAGTTGTGGAGCAGTCCCATTCTTTGCAATGATTGCGTTTTTGCCGTGATGCAAAGCATTGTGGCCATGGCTATGTATATAGAACTGTTTGGTTGCACTGCTGACTTTGCAGCAGGCGACTAGGAAACGGTAAAACTGATCGACTGCCTGGTTTTAGCACCCCATTGCCGCTTGTGTGAACAATGCCTTGTCGGGTATTAGAATCATATTATGATTTATAATTAATTTGTGTCTCCACCTACTTTTATCATAAGTAGTAGTACTTTTATCATAAGTAGTACATATTTATGAATGATAAAATATAATATTAATACCCGATTGTCAGGAGATAGTGAGCTCGTCCTCTGTCTGGGTTGATCAAAGAAAGCAAAATAACTTTGTAAAATAATCAAAGATATAGAAAATATAACAATAAATGTACTTTCTACAGGGGATTATTTTACAACGATTTAACCCCTTAAGGACCCATGACGGGATTATTCCGTCATGGGTCCTTAAGGGGTTTTTAAACAGACTCCCGGAGGCTGTCAGCTTTAGAAGTGATTCTGCCTACTCAGCTGCTGCCAGATTCCTTCTACGGGTCGGTAAATTGTGTGCCCCCCACCCCCACCCCGCCTGACAACCTCGCTGTGTCGGAAGCTGGAGAAGAGAGCCGCGAACATCCGTCCCAGATCTCCTCCCTGTTCTATGAGACCGGCAGCGCTGCACATTGCATCACTTCTGGTCCCTGAGCTGTCATTGCTCGGCTCCTGAAGCCGAGCAATAAGCTATTAAAGTGTGATCTGCACTTCAATAGCTTACTTAAAGTGGAAAGGTGACACTAGGGGTCTTTTGGACCCCCAGTATCACCTCAAGGAGGACCTGTCACCACCAATATGCTATCACATAGGGGGGCTTGTAAGTCCTTTAAAAGCCCCTACATGTCATATTATATATTATAGGTAAATAGATATATACACTTTGTCTGATCTAAGTCATAATACAGAAGTATAGTTCTATGTGTTAATAGGGACTAGTGTGTGTCATTCTTCTAGTGTTCCTTGGGCTGGTATATCAATGATCTGATTCATTTTAACATTTCCAATGTTTACCCCATATTATATTGAATACAAGTAAAACAATTTTCTTTACACCTTGACTATTCATTTTCATGTAACATTTATTGTATTGACACATTTCTTGTTATCCCATGAAGGCGAAACATAAAAGCCTCGATCTTAATGGGAAAAAATAAAATTCCTTCAAAGCCCCATGTGGCTAGTCTACTTGCCAAACGGGCGACTAGGTTTTCCCAGGATAACATCACTTTATTATATCTAAAAAGATATATGGCACTTGATTACCTTTTCCTTCTTACATTCTTGACTATTAGGTTGCTGTCATATATGTGTAATTGTTTTAAGATATCCTCTATATAGAAATACAATGAGGGGAATTTACAAAAACTGGAGCAGACAGAATCTGGAGCAGCTGTGCAGAGCAACCAATCAGCTTCTATCTTTCATTTTCAAATCTTTACTGAATACTAAAGAGAGATGCTGAATGGTGGCCATGGGCAAATGCTCCAGATTCTGTCTGCTCCAGTTTTGATAAATTCCCCTAATGTCTTCTGTAAGTTGTTCAAAATTATCTTATGCTTAAGTTTAGTTGTCAGCAGTTCGGGCCAGTGAATCACCTATGTTTTTTCCAGAAGCCATAAAATCCTGTTAGAGTTAGCCGTTCCATTTTAAAACAATACCTTGGGGATCAAATTCACGTTGTTTTCCCAGGCCACATACTGCGAATGCCTCTCCTGGTTCTATACAGATTTCTAGAACTTAATTGTTAAATTTAAAGGAGAACTATGAGGTGAGTGATTTCCACTCATCCTCAAAGTTAGAGCCGATCTGTGACAAAGAAGATGTCACAGGTCAGCTCTATCGATCGGGAAGTGAGCAGAAACATGCACCGTTCCGCTCACTTCCCAATCGTCTCCCTGCAATGAGTGGTGACTGTCAGTCACGGCTCCCTGCAGGAATTCCCCCCTCCACTATCCGATCCTCCAGCGCTGAGTGGAGGAACGAATGGGGGAGGGGGCGGGCGCAGCTGGCTCTGCGTCTAGATACCACAGACAATGCAGATTACTTGTGGTGACCAAGGTAGTTGCGCTAGGATATATGAAAAACAGATTACTTAGCATACTTAATGACCACAGTCACCACAGACAATGTGTCACTCTGTAGAGACGCCCCCGACCGCATGTGGGTGTGTGCCCCCCCCCTGCCCGAGCGCCGATGTGCCTTAATGTCACTTCAAGTGTTCTCATTTATGATACAGTCAAACACCTTTTGTAGATACAATAAGATTTCCTCTCGAGGTGGTTCCAGTTGAATCTCAACACAATGCAGGAAATGTAAGTGTTTGGCATTTGGCCTGACTCTGTGGGAAATAACGTTAGCTGAATACTCGTTTGGCAGCCATCTTGTTCACTAAAGCAGTTTGCTAAGGAACTGACAGTCTTATAGAATAAGAAAAGGAAATGACCACATCGTTTTAAATAAAATATGTGCTCACTGTTTTGATTACTTCATGTGTAGTGTTAAAGGTACGCTCCACTCACAATTGATAATGAGGCCTTGAGATACATAGGTGGTGCACAGCCTGCCTATTACAGAACCACTATAGCCAAATAAAATACTGTATTTGGGTAATTGTATGGAATAATACCTTTAATAATAGTATTCAATTCCTTTTTCTTATTTCACATGCTTATTTGTTTTTCTATCCACATTTACATTCAGGCCAAGCAGTCCAGAAAAAGTGACAGTTAGAGGGGTTGGAACTAACCATATAGCTGAATACGCGTTTGGCAGCCATCTTGTTCACTAAAGCAGTTTGCTAAGGAACTGACAGTCTTATAGAATAAGAAAAGGAAATGACCACATAGTTTTAAATAAAATATGTGCTCAGTGTTTTGATTACTTCATGTGTAGTGTTAACCCCTTCATGACTGAGCTAGTTTTCAGGTTCTGTTCATAAATGACTGACACATTTTTTACATTTTTGCTGTGTGATTCTTCCACAGCAGTAATATACTTTCTTACTAAATGTACCCACACATATTATATATTGTTTTTTAGAGGACAGATAGGGCTATATAATTATAAACACTGTTGGGGTTCTTCCAGTGGTCACCTTTTTACCATGTGGTATAAACCTTTTTCCAAAAAGAAACAAAAAACCTGCCACTGTAACCGCTTAAAAAGTGCCCGGTCCAAACCTGATCCCCTCCGAACAATCAGCTATCCTTTCAACAAAATATGACAATTTAAATTATAACCATCATTTCTAGCACAGATTAGCACCCTACATTTACATTTCCTGCTTTAGAGATAATTTGCAAAGTTCTTCCAGATCAAGTATTATTAAAGGTCCAGGTAAAGTTATTATTAAACATTAGAATCTTGCCTTGCTTAAAAAACTAAAATAACTATGCGGATAAAAATATTAATGAACAAGCTTCCATCTTGTCTGTTCTCTGATTTAATGAACTGTAGGTATTATTTAGAAGATTTTTTGATCCTGTAATTAAGTTTATTTCTGCTATACACAGTAAATAGGCCATTGGTTATATTGCTTGTCTATCTCTTTCAACTTCAAATATGTAACACATGCAATGTTTCTTAAGCTTCTGGCAGTTAACAGTCCAATTGGTAATGAAATTAATGCTGAAGATCTTGACCAGGACGTGCTCTACTATGAGCTGATCGACAATGTGGTGAGTGGCATATAATAATTAATAGATCTGTCCATGAACACTAATACCCTTGTTTCATTTTTAAATTGTATACTTTATGGCGGTGTTATTTATGCCTTCGGCTGCTGTGTGGGCTATTCTTAATAGCAGCCCTTCGGTTCGACTGAACTGAAAGGCTCCGGCGGCCGAAGAGAGCCGAAGGATCAGCCGAAGATACGGCTGGATCCTCCGGCTCTTTAGTGAATAACCCCTTAGTTATCAAAAGCATAGTTTATCCTAAACAATTGCCAAGGTTTTTTTTTAATTGTTAAATATTTGTTTTTTTGTAAACATTTGTTAAATAAAATAGTTTTCACTTTTATTTCCAACCTTTGTTGCATATCAGCACTGCTAATTCCCTCCATTTTCATTGAGGTAATTTCCTGTCTACATGTATGCACTCCAACACTGCTGCTTATTTCTCAGGGCAGGTTTCCTAATGATATCAGTGGAACATGTCTGTTTTATACCACATGTGCCGTAACTATGACCCTAAATATATGTAAGATCTGAATTGTTGTGTGGTCTTTTTCAGAATGCTACCACATTCTTTCGCCTTTCCTCTGAAACTAACCCAGTTATCTTAGTGAACAAGCGTCTGGATTATGATGATTATCCTATAGTAAATCTACTTCTCACAGCACGGGTAAGTTCATTAGAGTAAATTTAATTATCATTAATGGATCGAAAACAACAATTTTATGCCAACTAATAGAACACAAGTAGGGATGAACTCAGTCCAAACCCAGTTCGAACCTTGGCTGCTTCCGAACACTGAAACAGTTCCTCCAAACATGAAAGGAAGCTGCTCAATCAGCTGTAGTGGGGGAATTGCCCGCCCACAGCTGCACCTAAGCAAGGGGGTAGTATGCAGTGAAGTCATTGAGCTTATAGGGTCACATCACTATATTTGGTTAATGACATTGACCTAATATATCCATGTGGCCATATAAAAGCAATGATATCTGCAGGAGCATCCCAACCCTTTGTTTACATGCACCAGCAAGGAAAAAGGTAATGCCCCAGCTTGCATGTAGCTTCAGGGTTCAGAGCAGCTTAGGTTCCGTCTGAACCTCAGTTCATCCTTACTGGTCAGTAGACTTCCTCCGTTTGCATACAGACATACAATATGGTAGGTACGGTCATTCTAAATAGTGAGTGTCTTAAAGTAAGTGCTGGAATACAGGGGAAGACTGAGCTGGGAGATGGTTAGAGGGGGGCATTATAAATAATATAAAGTAGGTTGGGCTAGTGGCCCTGAGTGGAGACAATACCACATTCAGACTTTGGTTAGAGTGGAACCTGCAGTCAATGACAGCTGCTATCTGCTCTTTGTTCAGACCTGCAATCACTGGTACCTTGCAGAGGGTTCTTTGTAATGTGACCAAATGCAGAGGGCTGCAAAAGAAGGCAAAGCTGGAAGAATTTGTGAAATGTGTTGTGCTTATTTGTTAAAGAAAGCTAAATGATATGGTTATTTGTAATGCTAGCATGATATTTTATTTAGTATTTTATTTAGGTGAGACTATATCATTTTTACAGGGCAACAGTCTTCTTGTTAAGAATTTAAAATATTTACCGTATAAGGGAAAAATATACATATACAATGAATTGCTTACACCCCTAACATATGTATCTGAAAAGATGTGTTACAATAAGACATGATCTTAGAACTGTATGTAAAGACAAACCTTTATTTGTTTTGGGAAGGGTTAAAACCTCTGTCAGGTCATTAGCTATGTGTATTGCTGGGAAGATTTGCCTTTATTTTCTACTTTGGAGATGCAACAGGACGTGAAATGAAATCCCTGTTTGTCCTCTATGTCCCCACTGGAATATTTCCCCTCTATTTCTGTTTTGGTTACAACACAAAGGGGAATTTAATAAAAGCTAAGTGCCACTTTTCTAGTGGCATTGCACCTTAAAAGGTCCTGCTCCATATTAAAAAAGTAAAACCAATGACATGCTGAGGAGGTGGGGCCTGGTGGCGAAGCTTAATGACTAGTTCCCCATTAGGTCCACCTCCCTTTTGACTGACAGCAGGCAGTGGATTCTATAGACAATAGCCAACATGTTATTGCCTGCTACACTGCTGCTGGGCCCCACAGCAGTTGCATTAAAGGAGAACTATGGGGTCAGGGCTTTTCCCCATAGTTCTCCTTAGGGTAACGGGAGGACACAAACTAGCGTCCTCCCATTACCCTAAGCTCAGTATACCACGAGCTACAGCCCAGATCTGCCCAGCTGCGTGAGTGACAGCTGGCTTTGCCTATCTAGAGGCAGAGCCAGCTGTACCCGCTCCCTCCCCCGTCCGTTCCGCCAGTCAGCGCTGGCGGATCGGAGCGGGGAGGGGGGAATCCAGCCCCCCCCTGTCATGGCAGAGAGAGAGATGATTGCGAGAAGTAAAGTTTTCCCTCTCACCATCCCATTTCACTTCATTGCTGCTCCTAAATGTATGCATGTTCTAACTATCAGTACATCAATATATTTTGAGTTGCAGAACAAACATAAATAAACAGCATTTATTTCTACTATTTCAGGATAGGAAGGATCCTGGAGACAATTCTACCCTTACAGGTAACGCCAGCATAGTGGTCAACATTGCTGACGGAGACGACAAACCACCATTCTTTATGCCCTGCACTGAGATATCAACCAAAATATGTATCAACAATGGCTACACAGGAAGTGTGAACAGGACTGAAGTAGCAGTAAGTGTTACAACAGATGACATAGTGATTTTTTTAATGTCTTGTAGGAAGTTTAAGTGGCTATGGGACATCAGAAACTGAAGGAGCCACCATTATAACTGGGGACCCCCCACCCAGGTTTCCACCTGTCTTGTTTGTCAAGATTAGTAAGGTGACAAAAGTGACAAAGACCACTAAGGTGCTCAAAAGTAGTTCCAGTCAGGTAAAATAGCTCTAAACCCTAACCAGATGACATTTATGGGTCTATTCACAAAGCTGCCGAAGGATAGTTTACTATTGGCTATTGCAAATTGAAATAGCCAATAGTAATGTAGCAATGCATTTCAATGGGAAATTATTATTTTTTTTTTCTATTCTGATATCACTCCGTGTCAGAATAAAGAAAAAAAAAAGACACAGCAGTGTTTCTCTCCTGGGCGGCCGGGAGCGGGAGGCTCCCAGAGCGCCCGGGAGTTTTTTTTTTCTCGTTTTTTTTTTAGGGCAGTAGAGCCGCCGGACAATAGGAAACTATTGGGCGGAGTTAGCTGTCACTGCTAGCTCCTCACAATCGTTTTCTATTTACTTTTTTTTTACTTTTTAAACTATTTTTCTGTTCTGCTCTGTCCCTCTGAGGACCGACCAGGGCAACCAATCAGCTTTCTTCTCCCGTTTGTTCAGTTAAACTCTGAAAATGAAAGAGAGATGCTGATTGGTTACTATGGGCAACTGCTCCAGATTCTGTCTGCTCCAGTTTTTATGAATTCCCCCCACTGTGCATCATAAACAAATGTCTCTTGGCATCCTCACGTCTAATGCAGGTGAATGGACCTACATAAGACGTGATAACGCCAGAGGTCATTAGACTGCTAAAGCCCTGGCTGTGAGTCTAGCAGCCTAGAGTGAGCTGGTTGGAGTGGGGATCAGGTGAGTAAATCTGCTTTCTTTGAACCCCCTAGACAAAACAAGCACTTGTAGCCTCAATACAAGGGTACGCTTTTCTGTTTGCCTGGAGTTCTTTAAAGTTTATTTCCACTTTTACAGCCATATTTAGATAACACCTTTTTTGTATTTGTTACATGTTCCCATCCACACATCCACACAGCATAACTTTAAAAAAAAAATAATAAAAAAAAGGGTCAGGTGCTATTTTTTTTCCTCCAAAAACTTGAAATGTTTAAATTCTCTGTAATTTCAAGGAGTGCGCTTGAGCTGGATGGGGAGGTAATGCTTATCATAATTAACCATGTCTGTACTGTGCTGGCAAATCTCTATATCAGTTGTGAACTACATTTGGACACTCTCTATCCTGACAAAGGGTTAAAGATCTAGAAGCATTGTCTGCTAATGAGAGGAAATGCAGTCTGTCCCCCTTTGTCTTGGGGACAGACTCACTCACAAACTGTTCAGAATAGCCTGCAATCTGGCCAATGGCCTCCTCCAAGAAACAGCTAAAAGGCAAAAAATCTATTAAAAAAATATATATTTTTAAATATGCTGTGTGAATGGTAACACGTAGCAAACATATAGAGAGGTTTTCTCAAATGTGACTGCAAAAGTGGAAATAAACTTTACGCTGTTGCCTTAGGACATGAGCTAGGACATGTACTAGGTAACAAAACTACAACAAAAAAATCTTCTTTAATAAGCCAAAATGTTAACACAGAATGCCTAAACCACACTTTAATGATGTATGCCTATCTAAAAGTGCCCATACACCTTACTATTATCATTTGATTTTCGTCCGCAATTGCGGTTTCGTCTGATAATCAGCCAGTTGATGAAAAGTCAACAATCACAATTAGTGTACAACTGGCCAAATTTTGTCTTTCGGGCAGACTAGTAAACTTTCGTCAAAACGGATGAAAATCGATGGATTGGTGTTTGTACAACAAAAATATCAAGATGAACACTGCACAGGCGCAAACGAAAATCTGTTCTGTCGATCGACAAAATTCTGACAGTTAGTGTTGCTGATGAACGATAATCGAAAGCTATATTGGTCTGTGCATGATGGGTTATTGAAACGAAAATTGGACGAGGGTGCGATGTCGGGACAAAAAAAATGATACAATGGTTGTAAGGTGTATATGGCCACCTTTAGATATTGGTTTAGCCCATGCCTCTTAAAAAGTTGAGCCACTCTGAACTTATTATATTTCTTCAGTAGATTTTGGTGGCCTTAATTACTCTATTGGCTACTTTTATTTTTGGAGCTCCAGCTCCTGCAGAGATGTAAGAAAACATTTATTGTTAATTTACAGGATTTATATAGCGCCAACAGTTTACATTTACAAAATGGAGAGAGACAGTCAGCTACAATACAATTTCCATACCAGAGATTTAGGAGGGCCCTGCTCATGAGAGCTTACAATCTAGTAGGAAGGGCAAGTGATATAAAAGGTAATAATTGTGTGGGCTGAGCTAATGGAAGAACTAATAGGACAGTTATTATGTTGAAGCGTGATAGGCTTCCCTGAGGAGATGAGTTTTCAATGATTGCCTGATGTAAAATGTATTAATTATGTGGGAAGAGCTAATGGAAGAAGTAAAGGGACAGTTATTAGGTGGGATAGGCTTTCTTGAAGAGATGAGTTTTCAAGGATTGCCTAATGGAAAACAGAGTAGGAGATAAGTGGACAGATTGGGGTAGGGAGTTTCAGAGGATGAGAGAGGCTCTGGAGAAGTCCTGGAGAGGAGATGATAATGGAGCTGGAGAGCAGGAGGTCTTGAGAGGAGCAAAGTGGACAGTTTGGGTGATGTTTTGAGATGAGGTTGGTGATGTGCTTTGGGACAGAGTAAATGGTGTTGTATGTTGTTGTTAGTATTTTGAATGTTATTAGTTGGGCAAGTGGGAGCCAGTGGAGAGATTGGCAGAGCGGGGTGGCGGACACTGAAAAATTGGTAAGGTGGATGAGTCTGGCAGCAGCATTCATTGTAGACTGAAGGAGGGATAGCCTGTTTAGTGGCAGACCAATATGGGGGGAATTCCAAAAGTCGAGGTGAGAGATTACAAGGGAGTGAATTAGAAGCACTGTGGAGCGATTTGTTAAAAAGTGATGATTTTTGGAAATTTTACAGAGGTTTAGTTGGCAAGATTTGGATAGGGAAGCAATACGTGTTTCAACCACTGACCAGTTGGACATACCACTTTTAGGAGGACATTTCTGAGCCTTATGACTAATGAAGGATCATTATCAGTCACGTAGGTCTACTGCCCATTTCATGTAATTATTATCTTTACTGTAAACAAAAGGTTTTAACAAGGAAATGTTTGAATTTAGTATCATGTACTTTAGTTCCTTGATAACAGAGAAGAAATTATTCTTGTGCCGTTTGATGTACTTTAGACTCACTTTTACATAGCTAACCAGCCTCCACAGGTACATTAGTCATTGTGCTATAAACCAATTAGTAAACAGCTTTGATGTCAGGCATGGTATATCAGGCATGTCTGGTTAAACTTTACTTTACATTCATCTCTGACGTCTGAAATGGCATAGCATGAACTGCAATACAGGAGATAATCTCAACCATAAAATCTATAACAGAAAACACAGAAGATGATTTGCCTTTTAGATAACTGTAACAAGATACTTCGTTAAAAAAAAAATCTGTGTACAATCGTTCTTGTTGGCTAGGTAGCAGGATGCAAAAAAAAAATTAAAAACAGAATATTTCTCTACTTTAAAAATAAAACATAAAAACATCCCTAAAGTGTCAAGCCCAGTCCTTTTATATTTAGTTTTGAATAGAGTGTGAAAGGATTATATGGGCTTTGACTGCTATTTAAGACTCTGTTTGAGAAACTTACCCTTACTTCCTGACCAGCAACAAATACTTCCTGATCAGGCAACAATTTACCAGACAGGAAGTGCGGCAACACAGATAACAATAAAAACGCTTTAGTAAATCAGGGGGTAAAGCAGGGGGAGGCTATGACCCCTTGTAGATTTTTATTTCTGTCTGTTGCAGATTTTTCTTTATGCCCTATGTTGTGAAACAGGAAGTGAGAAAAAAATGCCTCTAACGGAGACCCAGGATCGAAGTAAAAACCTGGCTAACTTAAACTTAAACTTAAACTTAAATCCAAAACCTAAAGGAAAAGTTGTTAGGCTTGACTTACACTTTAACAGGAAATGATTGTGTCATCCTTCTTCTTCAAGATCTAGAATTTCAGTGCCAGGACACATAGTCATTCTCATTCCTCCCTCCCAATTGATTACTATGAAGGCGGGAGGGGGGGATTTGTTGAAAGTGGGCATAAGAGCAAGGCGTAAAGTGTATGTAAACCCTGACAAACCCTAACTTCTCTTAATTGCTCCCTTTTGGTCTGGTAAGTATACCATTAAAAAGTTTTGCTAAATCTCTTTGATTTAGCAAACAATATCTGTTGATCTGTCAGAAATCCAGAGAGCTAATAACTTCCTGTGCTCTCTGGCTCTGCTGCACTGTTATCATTTAGCGTTGTTTTCTGCTCTCTCTCTGAACTACAATACACCCTCTCCCCCATGTTATGAAGATGTGGAGAGGGGGAGGTGAGCTTTATTCCTAACATGCTCCCTTTCCTAGAGTGACAACGCAGCTCCTCTACAGATTCAGTACATGAAAAGAGTGTTGTCACTAGGGATGCTCCAATACCAATACTAGTATTGGTGCCTATACCAAGTATTTGGACGAGTACTCGTATTCGCCCAAATGCTCCGATACCTTCCCCGAATACCGGAACTTACAGTCAGAGGAAGATTTCCTCTAACTGGCAGTGCTGTAGGGGAACATGGAGCCAGCTTCCCGTGCAATCAGGAAGCTGGGCGGCAGGTAATGACCTTCCTCCCAGCTTCCTGATTGGCTGGGAAGCTGGCTCCATGCTGATTGTCTGGGAATCTGGCTTCCCAGCCAATCAGCATCATGCCGGCCGAACAGCCATCTCGATGCTGATTGCCTGGGAAGCCGGCTTTCCAGCCAATCAGCATCAAGCCAGCTTCCCAGATAATCAGGAAGCTGGGAGGCGGGTCATTACTCGCCACCTCGCTTCCTAATTTGCTGTAAAGCTGGCTTGATGCTGATTGGCTGGGAAGCTGGTATCCTAGCCAAGCACAATCAAGCCAGCCAGACAGCATGGAGCCAGCTTCTCAGGCAATCAGATTGCCCAGGAAGCCGGCTCCATGCCAGCGGAAGCACCGCTATTGTACTCGTACTCGATACCGAAAAACCAGTATCAGTGTATCTCTAGCTGTCACCCAAGAACAGAAATTGTGTTAATAGTAGGGTTGCACAGATACCAAGTACAGTACTCGGTACAAGTACAAGTACCGATACTTTTGAGCTCCAAGACTAGACCAGAGAAAAATTCAAAGATTAGGAGGCAGCTGCCATTTGTAAGGAGCACACGAAGCTCCTGGGATTTGTACATCTCTGTTTTAATGTATGATTTTGTTTTTATAAATATAAATAAAGGGATGCACAGATACCAGTAAGTAGATAGACCTCGTTTAAAAGGTACTTACTTTAGCCACCAAACGGAAAATTCAGCTCCCCTTTTATACAATTTGTGGGCTGGCAACTCACAGTGGCAGGACCACTGGAATGTTCTCAGGTTGCCCATGACCAAAAAAAGAAATAGGAAGAACTTTTTTTCCATTTCTTATACATTGCTTTTTGGGAATTAGGGGAACACACAAGTAGTAATCATCCCTGGAACCATGGGCCAGACTGTGTTGGTGGAAATAAAAAGATAGCTAGTGATCGTTCTAGTAATTCTGTTGTATGTTTACTTTAGAGTGGACCTCTGGCCTTAATACCAGGACCCTTATATGCCGTGGATGGGGATAAGGGAATTGGTGATCCCGTTGAATATGCCATCATCAGTGGTAAGCACAAAATGTCTAAAGTTTACTCTTCTATTACTTTCCACATGGAGAGCTTCCTTTATCTAGAAGCTTTCCCACTCTCAATGCCTAAACCAAAATGAAATGGCTAATGTCTCCAGGTTTTTCCACTTTGAGGCCAAAGCCCCACTTGTGATCCTGCCTTTGGCGAGAATTTTCCAGTGGCAGAATCACTATGGAGAATACAGCAGGGAGGTGACACCTGCTTGCCTGTGTCACTCCCTCACTGGCTGGATGAGCATGGCAGCGCTTTCTCGCCATCAACTTATATATTAAACCATTTTTAAGACCTCGCTGCCGAAATTGGGGAAGGAGAGACACATAGAAAGCAGGTGAGTGTGCTGCCTGCATGTTTTAGAGATCCTGTGGAGAATTCTCCCTAGCAACAGGACTGCAAGAGTGACACGAGCCTAAAATATTCGAATTTATGCTCACCTATACCACCTGTGGAAGTATTGTGGTGTTATGACTCAACTATTCAGATGTAACATTGTTTTACAAGCACCATCAAATAATCACATACAACATCAAGTCAGTCAGATAACATACTTCCCAAATTTCTGAGATGAGAAAGAGGGACACATTCCAGCACAATGTATTTAGGCAATGGACCACCCCCCAGTTATGCGGAACATTAAGAATTTTTATGCCAAAGATTATTGGTGAATAATGGCAAACACAATAATTTAGAGATAGATGAAGGTTTTAGTCCAGAATAACACTTTTGCTATTTAGATAGAATATTTTAATAGATATTTATACATCACACCAAAAAGAGGGCCAACTGAGGAGGAAAGAGAGGGATTTGGTTCTTAACAAGGGACAGTTGTGAGGTATGAGATAATGGTTGTGAATGGAAAGAGGTGAGTGGTTGGGGAGAACCTCTTCATCTTACCTTATAGAAAAATCAGTATTTTTATTGATACTCAGCCTTAATGACCAAGTTAGATCACCAGGACTGTATTTCTGTGATGAGAAATTAGGATTCACAACTGTGTGCTTCATTGTATATTAAAGATTCTATAAACCTTAAATACATGTAAAAATATACTAATAAGGACTTAAGAAAATACAGTTTCAAAATCTTTGCAGAAGTAATGATTCTCTGTGTAAGAGACTAGAGCTCTTCATGAAGACATTATTATCAATTTAGAAAATATACATAAATATTACATATATTTCTATACCTGTTATTAGCTGTTTTTTTTTTTTATATGACAACTAACGTAGAGTGGGGAAGAGTTAGTTTTCTGCCAAGTGATCCCATTGGGTAAATTTTTCCTCACTTCCTGTCCCTGTGACACCAGAACAAGAAATAGGGAGCTGTCGCCAGGACATGAAAAGGCACAGACAGCAATAAAAATGTCAGTTGTTCTGAGAGAGATGTATTGTCTTGACAGCAAGTGAGGGGAAATTGCACTTACGGAGATACAGATAGATAAAAAAAGGCTCTAACTCTTCTTCTTTATCCAAAACAAAATAGCATTTTTTTGGGCTAGCGTTGGACATTATTGGTCCACTAATTACTAAATAATAACCTGCAATATTGTCTGTGTATCAAATCTAACAGATCGTCCATCTTTTTCTTCATTAGGAAATGCTGACAATGTATTTAATCTGCAGAGAATATCTGGAAACATAACAATGAATAAAGCAGTAGCCACCTTAGGAGTTCTTCTACTCCAGGTTATGGTATGTATCCATGATAAGATCCTTGAAGGTACAAGTTATTCATAACCAAAGCCAGATTAAAGCCTTGCAGTTGCATCTGTTTCCTTCTAGCAAATACGATTAGAGCAGAGAACAATCCAGATGCTGTATCTTATAAATATTCCTGCTATGGCCATGGGTGTATGACAATGGGTGAGTAATGTGGGTTTCTGAAAATTAAAGGAGAACTATGGGGTTAGGGCTTTTCCCCATAGTTCTCCTAAGGGTAACGGGAGGACACAAACTAGCGTCCTCCCGTCACCCTAAGCTCAGTATACCATGAGCTACAGCTCGTGGTATACTGAGACGCCGCAGCTGAAACAAATCCCGACAATTATGTCTGGATCCGCCCAGCTGCGTGAGTGACAGCTGGCTCTGCCTGTCTAGAGGCAGAGCCAGCTGTACCCGCCTCCTCCCCCATCCATTCCGCCAGTCAGCACTGGAGGATCGGAGCAGGGAGGGGGGAATCCAGTCCCTCCCCTGTCACGGGGATTGAGAAGTGAGCCAACGCCGGTATGTGTTTGCTCACTTCCCGATCTACTTAGCCGACCTGTGACAGTTTCATTGTCACAGGTCGGCTAGAACTACGAGGATGAGTGAAGAGCACTCACCTCATACTTCTCCTTTAATTCATATGCCAGGGCCCACATATAAAAAAAAATGAAATATTCTGAAGCCCATTCAACTGCTAAATATGGAATATGTATATCCAATAAATCATATTTACCTGATTAAAGGGTAACTTTAGCGTGTCATGGTCCTATACATTCCCACAGGTAGGTCATGCCCAGCACTACTTCCACTGTCTGCATTTGAGACTACTGAAGACAGACATAGCCAGATTACTAGCTTTTCCCAAAGGAGGTAAATAGCACCCTACATGTTTCTCTCAGTATGGGTTTACTTTAAAAAAAAATGTAATTGGTTGAGGTTCATAAATCTCAACGGCCATAAATACAGCCAACCAAGACTGGACAGCAAAATACTGTGGCTTTTTAAGTATAAAAAATTTTGAAATAAGCCAGAACTATCTTAAACTGTTTCCATGGTACCTTTCTTTTCATCCTGACATTGTTTTATCTCTCTAGGCTTCTCAAATTAATGATCCGACAAAATATTCCATAACCTCAGTTGCAATTGAAGTGAAAGATAAGAACGCTTTCCCACCAACATTTGAAAAATCGAATTACCATGGAATGATCCCTTCAGATCCTGCAAATGGAGATTTTGTTCTTGACTTAGATAACCGAAATAGACCACTTGTAGTCTTTGCAACTGATGATGATTACGCAGATGTAAGTACCTTAGATTACAAATTGTTGATGGCAGGAAGAAAATATATTATGACATAGATTATTATTTTTAGAGAGAAGTAGATTATACAAAGAAGGAGGGACAGATTTACATTTGAGTCAGCCAAATGTTTTAGCGGGTCATATTATGTCTTAACATGTTTTGAATCATATAAATAATTTATTTACCTCTGTGCTTTAGCACTCTTGACAATTCAGCTCTGGGTCCTGGGTTCAGTTTCCACTGTGATAGCATAGATTTCCTCCAGTTTTCATGATTTCCTCCCAGTCCCAACATATAGATAGCTCAAATGGCTTTCTCCCAAACTGACCCTAGTATGATATGAATGTGGAAGAGATATTTTATTGTGAGCTTCTTTGGGGGAAAGGGACTGATGTGAATGGTTCTTGGTATTTTAAGAAATGCTGTAATACTGTATATATTGTTCTTATATAAAGTGTAATTACAGGGTGAGATAGATTGTACTACCATGCACATACAATTGATGTATGTAATATAATAATAAAAAGCTAAGAGAACATTTAAATGAATAAAAACATGATTTCCACTCCACTTCCATTTTCAATGTTAGAAAGTAATGTGAAGAAAAGTATCCAGGGAGATGCCATTATTCCCAATCCGGATTCATCTGTAACCTAGTAAATGAGAACATTGCAAAGTGAGCCCGAGCTGGGAGAACTGGAGAGAGAACAGAGCCCTTAAATCTTTACAAATAAGTTGGTTAAGACCATACATAGATCCATTACAGACTTAATTATATACAATACTTGAACATAAACTATATACAGCAGAAAAAAGATTTCAAGAAAATAATAGTGTGGTTTTTACTCAAATATCTGAAAAGATCAATGTAATTCTTCAAGATTCTTTCACGCATTACCGCCAATGTTATACACCTTTTAGGATACTTTTTAGGTAGCTATATAAAACTGATAGCAGTTAACTATTTCTGTGTACACAATCCAGTGATAACATTTCACACTACAAAAAAAAAATGTATTTTTAAATTGCAGAAGCAGAATCCATTTTTGGAATACAAGATAGAAAACAGCACTGCTTTCAGAATTCTCCGAGATGGCTTCATTATAACTAATGCTGTAATCACCACTCCGGGCACTGTTGTATTTGAAGTAAGTTCTGAAAAAATTTGTCTTTTCTGGACATGATTATGGTGATAATATTTTTAATGCCGATACTTCTGTTTAAAAAAAGCTGTGACTATAATATCTGGCATTATATATTATCATTAAGGATGAGTTGCCTCCGTAAAGTTTTCCTTTTTTGAGTTGTTGTGCGTGCAGTTTACAGATGAACACAATCACACTCATGCTGACAACTAAACATTTGGGGTACTTAAGCATAAACAGAATATTATTCTAGGCTCAAGACTTCAACTTAGATGCCTCGATCAGCCTATTGATTAACTTAACATTTGGGGTACTGTAAACATAGTAAAGAGCTTAATAGATGATTATACTGGGTTCAAGACTTCAATGTAGATATCTCAACTAGCTTGCAAATAAAAAAAAAGTCTTGATTTCCTAATTGAGTTGATGGTTGATTGATATATAGAACATTTTGAAAACACATTAGGCTCCTTTAACACAAGGTTGGGTATCTTTATTTTAAGCCATGTGACTAATTTTCAAATCTTTTGGAATTCAACTAATAATATCCCTACCCTGGTGTGATTTGTGAATTGAGCCTATTGCCAAAGCATTCTGGCTGTTATGACTGTGTGCTTTCCTTTACACAGGTGTCCGCAACTGACAGTTCAACTAATGAGAAGACCTCAACCTTGGTCTCAGTGGAAGTTATGGCAGGTGATGATTTTTTTTCTACTGGACATTAGTCTGCTCACCCACTACAAAAACAAAGTAAAGGCTAGTATGATTCTACAGCACAAAAGCAGTTGTTAAAACACTTAGAAGGGGAATTTATCAAAACTAGAGCTGACAAAATCTGAAGCAGCTGTGCATAACAACCAATCAGTTTCTCTCTTTTATGTTCAAATTTTAACCGAACAAACTGAAGAGAGAAGAAGATTGGTTGCCATAGGCAACTGCTCCAGATTCTGTCTGCTCCAGTTTTGATAAATGCCCCCCTTATAGCTCAAAACAGATCACAGGGGGTTGTTTTTACTAATGGCAGATAGGTTGTTCACTTTGCAAGGGAATTTGTACTTGCAGGTGAAGTTTCCCTTAGTTTAGTGAATGTGGTGAGATTTCCCTTTACAAAGAATACCCAATCATCTGCAAGGAAATATATATATTTTATTTTTTTTTGCTTGCACATGATTGGGTGATAGAAGCCAGCAGAGCTTTGCCTCATTCACTATGCTAAGGGAAAACGTCCCCTGCAAAGTGCAAATTCCTTGCAAAGTGAACAGCCTATTTGCCTTTATTAAATCAACCCCATGAACACAATATATCTTGGCTGTGTCTTTGATACATTGCCATGGCTATATCTATTACGTGATGGCAGTGAAAGGGAATTATTTAGTATTTTTGGTGAATAAGGTTTCTCCAAAACCCTAGTCCACTCCTACATAATGATATACATTTGGAATTCCTTTTTTTATGCAGCTACCACCACTGTTCCTACTACGACAACGATGACTACTACTACTACTACTACAACAAAGCCTGAAACCACAACAAGCTCTCTGACATCTGGTACAGGTACCACTACCACTTTAACTCCTGGTACTGGTTCAACAACAACTACCACAACAGGTACAGGCACCACTACAACCTCAACTCCTGGAACTGGCACAACAACAACTACTACCAAAGTCACAGGCACTATTGCAACTTTACCTCCTGGAACTAGCACAACACCAACTACCAATGGTGCGGGCACAGCAGAACCTCCATCCCCTGATACAGGAACCACAACAACAACTACTACTACCAAGGGTACAGGCACTACAAAACCTCCATCACCTGATACAGGAACCACAACAACAACAACTACTACCAAGGGTACAGGCACTACAAAATCTCAAACTCTTGGTACAGGCACAACAACAACAACTACCATAGGAACAGGCACTACAAAACCTCCATCTCCTGGTACAGACACAGCAATAACAACTACCAAGGGTACAGGCACTACAAAACCTCCATCTCCTGGTACAGGCACAACAACAACAACCACCAGGAGTACAGGCACTACAACATCTCCATCTTCTGGTACAGGCACAACAACAACAACCACCAAGGGTACAGGCACTACAAAACCTCCATCCCCTGGTACATACACAACAACTACCACCACTATTGGAACAGCCACCACTTCAAATAAAATTCCTGATACTGGCACAACTACAACCTCTAGCAAGGGTACAGGCACAACTACAACGTCAACTCCCGGTACTGGTACAACAACAACTACCACCAAGAGTACAGGGACCACCACAACTAGGACTCCTGGTACTGGCACAGCATCATCTCCTGGTACTGGATTAAAAACATTGCCCACTACTGGGACAGGCACCACTATGAGTACAGCTCCAAATAGCAAGTCAAGTACCACCACTGGAACAGGCACCCCAACAAGTTTTACTTCTAAAAGTATAGAACCAGGTGCTACTACCATTGGGGCCAGCAATACTGCTATACCTAGGACAGACAGTAGTGCAACAAGCATTCCTGTGGCAGGTATAAGTACAACTCTTAAAACTGTACAACTATCACTAATGGGACAAGCACACACTGATTCCACAAATATCACAAAGAGTGGGGTGTCTAGGTCAAAGACTGCAGCATTAAGAGGGACACTATCAGCAAAATAGAAAAAAAAACACTTAATACTTAACATCATAGTTTTATTATATTTGCATACCCGTTAAAAGATCTATATTTAGTGATAAATTAACCATATGCATCTCACTATGTTATAGTTGTCAATAGCGTCTTAGCTGTATACCCACATTTTCAATACATTTGCACCCTCAAAACAGTTTCCAGTGGGGGCTGGGGTAAAATAGAAATAACTGCTGTTAATCTATTGAAATGATATACATTAAACCACTGGCGGAACTACCAGGGTCGCAGCGGTCGCAATTAGCGAGCGGGCCCTGGTGTTCCGCCTGTAGGGGGGGGCCCAGAGAGGAAGCAGAGGGCCCGAAAGCTTCCCCATGCTGTCCCCCCCTCCAGATAGCGCCGCCCTGCATGTACGGGCAGCTGTGCGGGGATAGAGAGGTTCCGTCTGTACCCATGTCTGCCTGGCGGAGCTGCTACCAACACAGCAGGCACCGCCAGGCAGCACATTCTTCAGCTAGGAGAGGACCCTCTCCACTCAGCCCCGCCCCCTGGCCGCCAAAGATAAGGAAGCTGAGCGACTGTAGGAGTCAGGTAAGTCCAGTGGTGGGGGGGAGCGTGCGGAGGGGTGGTAAGAAGCTGCTGTTATTGTTATTATTTACATTAGAATGTATTGCTGGGAGCTGGTGGTATTCTGCTTTGCTGTATAATGATTATACAGCACAATGCAGAATACCACCAGCTATGCAGGACTACAAGTCCCAGCAATACATTATATTATTAAGTAGGGAACTTGCTGTATAATTATTATACAGCAAGGCAGAATAGCACAAATTATGCAGGACTACAAGTCCCAGCAATACATTATATTATTAATTAGGGATGCAATAGTGCCAAGGGGAACTCCATTTGCATGCACTATTTTTTCTGACCGCAACGGAACGCAGGCATTGTTTTGCCATGGGTTTCGGTGCAGGCAATCGCACTGTGGTGCCATTGACTTTAATGCAGCACCACACCCCCTCCCACCCCAGAACGCAGTGAGCTGGCCGGGATGCGATCCAGTGTGTTCCAGCACTAAATCGGGCCAGAACACACTGGAGCTGGTGTGAAGTAGCCCTAAAAGTTATAACATACATACCTTTTTTTTTTTCTATTAAAAAAACAGTATCAAAATCATGCCTTAATGTTTTCTTGCACCGGGGCCCTGAGATTTCTAGTTACGCCTCTGCATTAAACCTATCATGAGAGAATGTTGGTGCTAAACTCAATCTAAAAGGGCTAATTGCCTGGTCATCTGCTTTTAATATTTTGAGTCAATGGCCCAGAAGAAGAATGCAACTCAGAAAAAATAAGTCCTTATCTGCATGTGACGGACTCCCTGGCACCCCGACTGAGCACCTCCGTCAGTGATATGGCTTCCCAAATGGAACGTATTCCAAACCCTGTTACCATTACCTCAAGAATCAGGCAGAACTCATTTTGAGGTAAGCAGAATGACACAAGCCTTTATTAACACAAAGCATTGGAGTTTTATAGGAAGAAGCCCACCCCCTCCGGTCTAGAACGAACCGGTATCAACCACTTTGTAGGAGGCTGCTTTGTCCCAATACACACTTCGAGCTGAGAGTCTAACAATGGGCTGATTAGCTCAACTGATAGGTGTGGATGGGGGATGGGAGGATAAACAAAGAGACATACACACAGTGCCTTCCCCAGCGTTAGCAATACACAGCCTGGATTTGTCACACTGCAGATTTGATCTAATTGCATAAGTCAAGGTAATGGAGCATCAACCAGTTGCTGAATTGGGAGAAACCTTTGTACTGAGTGCTACTACCCATTCAGAAACTCATAAATGAACAGGACGTGATGTAAAGCACTTCCTGTTCATTTATAACTGGGGACCCAGTTATTTACAAACATTGGAGTGATCAGCTGATCACTCCAGTGTTTGTCCTGCACACAGAGGATCGGTAAATATCACAGATATTTACCGATCCTCCGCTCTCCATCCTGAGTCGCTCAGCCATTCACAGAGGGACCGCACAGCCTGCAGCTTCTTCTCAGATCCCCGCTGCTCACCTACGCCTGTATGGGCAGAGGCAGCAGGGATCGGAGGAGAAATAAAGCGCTGAAGGCAGGGGGGTAGGGAGCTGTCACTTCAGGATGGCTGAGCAGTGAGGAGAGAGAGAGCCGCCTGCTGTCAGATCCTGGCCAAGCGGCTCTCCCTTGCCTCACCGCTCGGTCATCCTAAAATGACAGCATTCCCTCCTCCACCCCCCTCCCACCACGCCTGTTTCAGTGATTCACTTCTCCTCAGATCCCCACTGCCTCGGCCTATACAGGCGGGAGAGAGCAGCAGGGATCCAAAGAAAAAGCTGCAGGCTGTGCCGCTCTTCTTCTCCCTGCCGCACTGAGCCCTGGCTGTGCCCCCTCGCACCTGCGCCCGAGGATGAGTGACTCAGTCGCCTCACCCTAGATACGGCCCTGCTTTAATGTCACTTTAAGGAATAAAGAACATAGCACTGCGCTTCAAACTCAAAATATTCCTAAAATGTGAGAAAAATAGTATGAAATGTGAACATGTCACAAAGTGATAAACAATTTTGTGTCATACACAACACCTGTGTTGCACAATGCCTGTGCTGATGATAGTGTTTAACAAGCTCTAGGTCTAATGGTCTACACACTATAAACCATAAAAAACATAGAAAACAAAATGTGCTAGTACATCTCATAAAATATGTACATATAGAAAATCCTGTGTTAAATCTCACAAGTGATGTACAACTCCCTCTTAATCTACATAACCATATGTGAAGTCCACCTTTTAAATAGATGACTTAGAAACAAGCATAGGCGGGAGACCAGGGTAGTGTAGACCGTGGCAGCTACTGGTGATATGATCATCATATAAATAATCATAAGCATCCTTGCATGAGAACTTAGGTCCAGGAGTTAATTGTGCTAGGAAAGAAGCTGTAATTTAAAAAAAAAAAAGATGGAGAATTGTGGGGGTTTACCCATGTGCATGCCTCAAATCTAATACATTTCTTGGAGTACTTCCTCAGATTTGAGTTGTTTTTTGACAAACCAGTGGCCAGCTTATACAGATCTACCTAGCAGGTAACATGCTTTCTGCTTAGACCAGATTGCAGTCAGAGGTGCTACTACAACAATTAATCTTCTGCCTGTAAAATTTCGGGAAGGCGTGTGCATTTATGACACTGGATCCCGCCACAGAAACAAATATACTTTGAGGTGTTTAATACTGTTTTTGCAATATCTGTAGCCACATTCCCTCACAACCCTACACTATCTTTATATTTTAGGAGGCAGAGACTGTAGAAATTAAATTACGAGCAGACAGGTTGTTTCTAGGAGTTCCAAATTTGGTGGCCTAGAACATTATTTAATGGCTAGCAAGGCATTCCTAGCTAGGGTCAAGCTAGGAATGCCATATATTAGGGTAAGGAACATGGCTGACAGAAATATTCTAAGTAACCAGTAGCAGCGTCTAAGAGAAGAGCCAAAGGTTAGACGCTAAAATAACAACTGGCAATCAGACAAGGAAGACATAACAGCTAGATTAGAAGCCTATGGACTATACAGAAATAATAAACGTTTAAACACGAGCTCATAGAATAGCATGCCTGGCACCTAGTTGAGAAATAAGAAGAAGTAACCAAGTAAGGTGAACTGAAATAACAATGAAAAGCAAAGAAGGAAGCCAAGACAAGACCATACAGAAGACAGCAGTGAAGACAAGGCTAGAGCTCAGGACAATGACTCCAAACAAGGAAACACATGGCAGCAAAGCTGGGATGCAGATTCCTAACAAACATTGTAGCTACTTTAATGTCCTACAGAGGGTCATGAAACTAATATGGACACAGTAGAGTGAGAAACAGGGCACAAGTATAAGCAGAGAGAGCAAGGCAGACATATAGGATGGAGCAGTGCACACAAACTAACAGACATAAGCGAAGAAAGTGAAGTGCCAGGGAGTGTGTAAACTAGAAGGAAAGAATAATATGTAAAAATTACAGAAAGGCCGAGGAAGCAGAAGTGATTCCAGGCAGAGATAGAACCTTATAAACTGTCCCAAAAACCTCATAATTATACAGCTTTTGCTGAGAACCAAGTGGTGCCTGTTCTGTTGGTGGTAGTGTAAGTTTGTGTGTCCCTAACAGATGGCTTCTAATTGATCATATTATAGAAGGCAATGATTGGCATTCTTAACACCGTTTAATATAATGAGGAACCAAGCCAAAGATGATAATGCATTCACTTCAAATCATATTTCATGTTGGATGTCCAGGAACTAGTTTATCTTCTACTTTTTTGATCTCTTAATTGTGCATGTTGTACATTCAAACCACTAATTCTGCATATATTATTTGTGTCAATAAGAAAATGCATTGTCGTTTTATTATGTGATTATGTTTTGCACGTAGACCTACATCCTAATATAACTTTTTTTCACCCCTTTAGATCCTTCGGAGAAAGGCACATTTTACACTGTCAACGACATGGCAGCACTCGGCGCCTCCCTGGGGGTCATTCTTGCTATATGTCTGGTTCTATTGGCCTTCTTTATTCACAAGCAATATGGAGACACAATAAAAGGGAAACTTAGGAGAGGTTCAGATGTAAGTAATGCACTGATCTTCAAATGTACAGAGTAAAAAAGCCAAGGGAAATCATATTAATAATACAGTATGAAGAATATTATATGTCTAACCATTTAAATGTACAAAATACAAATAAAAACAAATTAAAATAATATACTGGAAACATACACAAGGAATTAGGAAAGTACTTATGGATTTATATAGATAATTAAATATAGGGGTATACCATATCATATAGATATTTTAAATGATAACATACACATCCACTACACAGTACCTCTGCTGTGTTGAAATCCTTAGCAATGTTGTAATCCCTGCTCAGTACTCTTCTGCAGACTACAGAACACCTCCTTCTCTCCTCGCCTCCATAACACAAGGAGCTGTTGTGCAGCAGGGAAAAACTCAGACAGGGCTGACAACACAACTTGGGATTTTAATGCAGCAGAGTCAGCGTTGTCAGCTCACTACGGAAATTTAGAAGCTCACTGGATTTTTTTGCCATGAACAACAAGTATTTTTCTGTACCTGCAGTGTTTTTAAAGAGACAAAGCATAGGAATATGTGTATTTATGGCAGGGAGGTACTGCATATGTATTTTTTTATTTCATGTCTATTTTTTTCTTTCATGGACAAAGCACAGATTTGCTTAACCTGCTATACAGCCAGAAAGGAATATTTTTGAATGTTGTAAAGCTTGCTTGTTAGGGTCCTTTTTCTTCATCCTTCTCTAGATGAGGATTACTAGAATAAGGAAATATTTTTGAACATTAATTTTGTTGTATTAAACACTGTTGTATAACTGTGAAGATAGAAAAGGCAATGGATCATACACTGATAGGACTGCAGTAAGCAATGTCCCAGGTTCCTATGCCATTGTTTTCTGTAAATTTGTGTGGCCATGCCTCATTAGCAGGGCTTTAAAAAATTTTAGGGTGTCTCACCAGTCAGTCAAAAATGTCACCAGTCAGCATGCCCGCACTATAGCCTTGCAGTTTATGTTAACCGCAAAATTGCAAAAAACTACTACACCGAAAATTGGCCATAGGCGATGCTTTAAACGCTTTTACTGCTCATCAGTTTAGTGTTATCAGTGATTAATGGCCCTGCAATTATTGCTCGCACTCCGACATTCGCGGTGATATGTAACATGTGCGGCACAATAGGCGCAATTGTTGTTTTCGCAAGTAGGCGCACCCGATGTATGTTTGTGTATGCAGTGTGTGTATGCAGGGGGCGGGGGACTTAGAAAAATTGGTGTTTTTTTAATGTTTCTTTAATTTTTTAATTATTACACTTAACTTTATTGCTACCACATGGGGGGGAAAAGATGCCCCCTATGTGATAGCCAATTTACATGACAGGTCCTCTTTATGGAGACATCAGGGGTCTCGAAGACCCCTAATGTCACCTAGGGACTCCCCAGAGAAGCTGATGAAGCAGAAATCTGCCTAGCCAGCTTCTCCCTAGCTTCTGAAGCTGGAAAATTACATCAGAATGCAGAAGTGATGTAATATACATCACTTCCTGCTTTCGGGGACTGGATAGGAGATCAGAGGGAGATCTCCCTTTGATCTCCTGTCACATAGCGGCCGTGCCAGTCCCAGCCGCGCCGGTCCCAGCAGATCTCGGGAACAGCAACGGCAGTGACAGCTGCTGCTAATATGAGCGGTCGGGCGTCTCTAGAGACGCCCGATCGCTTGAATGTAAAGCTCCCAGCTGGCCGTTCGATTACAACGGACGGCCGGGAAGCTACTCGTCCGGCTCCGGCGTCCTCTCGTCACAGATGAGAGGATAAGCATTTTTCAAGCCCTGCTCATTAGCATATCTAAGCTAAATTGGATTAAACCAGAAAAATCTTCATGAGACACAGTATATATTTTTCATGCTATGCTCTTAGTACAGTACATACATATCAGCAAGGAGCAGGAAAACAATAGCCATAAATAAATAGTGGCATATCCATCAGAAGCCAGTGAATATGAGCTGTGATGTAAAAAGTGTTGTAAGCTATAGCAACTGATATTAGAGCATGACATTTGTGATCTGAATAGTCAGCTACAATATCAATAGTACCAAAGAGTTTTTGAAAACTCCATATTCTTATTGCCTTTTATATTGCCTTTTGAATATGTCTAGTAGTATGTAGGGTATGTAGGGCACGTTGGGCATTAGGTAGTGTAGATTTGCATGCTCCTTCTGCTTAGAACAATATTCCTCTATTACTGATTACAATTTTGACATCTGCTCTCTCACTTTAGGATTTTGGAAACTCCACATGCAATACTGAGCAACTTATAAATGAGGCAGATGATTCAGTAAATGATGTTTCAGAATTTGGTGGTTTCTCCACAGAGGAACCCACATCTTCCAGCGTGACCTTAGCTACCACTGCTGCAGTTGGCAGTGTTCCTTTACAAAGTGATCCAGCTGATAATCGGCCTTCTGAAACAGAAGAACAGGCCGATGATTCAGATGACAAGAAGGTGAAGTCTATCTTAACTAAGGAGCTTAAGGAAGATGTTGGCTACAAATCAGTGTGGTTTAGAGAGGATGCTTCTCCAGAAGTGGTAGTGATAGAGGGTGTCGAGGATGGCGAAGCAGATGACTATGATGATGATGCTGAAGAAGATTTTAACAACCAGCAAAATGATGATGATGATGATGATGAAGAGGATTTGGATCCCACATTTAATAATGCTGCAGCTAACACTTCTCAAAATAGTATACTATAAGCCATCCATTCTAACTTTGGAACACCTAAGTGTATAGTGATTTGGCCATATGATGTAATATGTCTGTGCTGTCTCATGTCCATCATGTTTTATACGAACTGACCAGTTATTCTCGGCATTAGTATGGATCCCAAATTATATTAAATAGGTAGCTCTAATGATGGATTCTCTATATGCTTCAGATGTCTTCTCAAAAATGCTTGCTCTTAAGACAGCTAGCATGTACAAATAAATGTTTACGGTAATGTGAATAGGTATATGTCTACAAGAGATGGCAACCAAGATGAAAATCTTATCATTCAAGGTACACATACATATACATTGCCTGCTCAAAACCTGAAGTTTCAACAGCTTTGGGCTATGATCAGGCAGAGCATTTGATAGGAATTGCCACTGATGGTAGCCTGAGAATACCACCATAAGATAAAATTGTGATTGTCAGGTTGAAAATGTTCATCAGTTTCCCTATTCTGAAGTACCAATGCAAACATTATGGGTAGCTTGTAAGATAATTTCATGTTTGCAATATTTCTTAAATCGGACCTAAAAATTCAAGATCCGCCTAATTTATAAGGACCCTTCCCCCCAATAACAACAGCTTCTTTAATACTGTGTAGGGAAAAAAGTAACGAATTATACTTACCTTATCCCTGGTGTTCTCCCTCAGCCTCTAGCCAAGGTTGACACCAAACTCCTTCCAGCAAAATCCATAGGAATGCTAAATATGCAAAATCTCACAATAAGACAATTGCACTTTGCTGAAGTGCCTATTTGCAACATTTTGGGTGCTTAGCATTCACTGGGAGCTCGCTGGAAGGATGGTGATGTCACCCATGCCATTAGGAAACATGGGGAAATCTAGTATGCGTATTAACTTTTTTCCCTACAGAGTTTTTTAGAACCTTAAAAGCAAAAGAAATCTCATTGGTGAGGAAAACGTTTGTTATGATCTGCAAGTATGCACAGCATGCATTCAGATTATGGCACACAGGGACTTCCTTCTGTGCTGTCCTTTATTGATGATGGGTCCAGGATGCTGTTACCAATAAGATCCCAGCGCTACCATCACCGCTGACGATACCTTCAGGTCCCACAGCAATCCTCATCATCCATTGGGCAACCACTGATGAAGAAACTTATGCTCATGTGTGCAGGAGTTACAGTGTCTTGGGCACCAGGCTTTATTCTTGGCGTGCCGTAAATGCTGGCATGATGTACAAGCATGGATATAAAGTCACCAGGATATGACATTTTTTTTTTGGCTAAAGAGACTTTGCATGTCTCTTCTGCCAAATAAAACTCTACCTCCTGGTGATTTTTTGTTAAAGCGAGTTTAGTTTGACTTTAAGACAGCTAATAGTGACAAGGGAAGGACCCTGATCTGTCAAGCAGACGTTACATATTACTACAAGGTCCGCTTTAATAAATAAAGACCAGTTCAAGATTTTTACCTTCTGCTCTCCTAAACCAACCGTCTTAAACCTCCCCGCTCTTCCCAGCTGGTGCTGGTAGCAGAAATGATAAAAAGATGGTTTTCCCATTCTGCATCAGTAAATTTTAAACACATCATTAGAAGAGTGGAGCAAACTGACACTTTACTCTGACACTTTAGCCCTTTGTTTCTAGGTGTACAGGCCAAGAATGGCTGCTTTTTCACTAACACATATGCACAGGATATGTAGGGCAGCAACATGAAGGACCATGTTTTAGCAGCCTGGCAGTCTGAAAAAATGTAAGCAACATGGCTGTAAGCAGATGGCTGTATGCCGCCATGGCCCATGTAGCTTACACAAAATAAATGTCTAATGTATGAGATGTAAAGAGATTAGACAAGCTATGATAAAATATTAGATATGACTGTATAAGTATGCAGACCTCGTATACAGAAATTGCCACATTCACTGCGGTGGCCTGCTCGGGACTGGAGAGTGTATACAATATGGTGTATTCAGGCTGTGCTCCAATATGTTGTGTATACAGTATGTTGAGCCTGGCCAATGTACATAAAGGACCTCTTCATACTAATCTCAGTGCACACGGCTAGAACAAGCATTGTTTTTAATGGCCATGACAAGCTCATACGCAATATGTCAGTGCATGGCTTGAACACCACAGGCTGTAAACACTGCCTAACTTTGGGTCATCCATTACAGTGAGATAATGGGAATGTCTCCATCTGACCACTGAAGTTCTATAGGCAATGAAGAGATGGGATGGGGGGAATTTTTTTTATCAGTATAATTACCCTTAAAGCCAATTGTTTTCAGAAACCTTAGGATTTTAATAAATGTTAAAGCAGGCGTAAAGGCTGGTGGAGGTGGCCAGCATTTCCCATAATGTTCAAGTATGCACAGCACGTTATGACACACTTACTACTAGGTTTGCTCTCCTCCAGCCATGTGAGGTCCAAGCTCTCTGTATTTTAACTCCGATTGTTGTATTGCGATTTATCCCTTGCTTAGACCCCTATGCCTGGCCTGTTTAAGCAGATATAATCACCGCAGACAATCCTTATTAGATAGCTGGACTCACCAAATACCTTTGCATGCACAAACATCTTTATTGAATGCAGCAGGGTTACAGCAGACAACAGGAAGTAGCAGATGATAGAAAATATGGTATTTGCAAGTCAACGACGGTAATGTTTTCCCCATGTGAGCATATTAACATGTGGCCATAAGACAAGCAGCCATTTTACCAGAAAGACTACTTGGACAAGAAAGGAAGTACATCACACACAAGGGGAGGGAAATCAGAAAAGATGGTGCAATAACCAAAATGACCACAAGATGGCAGCACATGAATCAGCTATACTACTGGTCATAATACATGGCTATGTAAATTCTCGATTCACTGTAGTGCAAATATTAACCATGGCTATGTCTTGTATCATGTTTTTATACAATTGTTGTAACAGCACACTCTGCATCCACTCCGTCCTGCCGCTGCCATGTCCTTCTCTGCTTCCGGGTCCTCCATCTATGAGATTGGTAGGACTCTACAGTGAATGGGCCACAGTCAGTGTACAGATGAGAAATTTGCTAGCCGTTTTTTTTTACTCAGAAAATTCTATTTTACCAAAACATCCCAACTGTGCCAAATGTTTGTTTTCAGGCTTTAATTCTGCTTTAATGCACAAATATATTTATTGCCTCAACTTCTTTTTCATATTGATTGTATATTGGATAATTTGTATAGACAAGAATGGTGTATGCTTGTTTTGCCCCTGAACAACCTATAAATTCTTCTGCACAATTTAGATGTTTTTTTCTTTCATTCTTTAATTGTGAGTCTACATTCTTTTCTGGACAATACTGAACTCATTTAAGGTGAATCTGCTATTTTTTAAAAGTAGAATATTGTGCCGTATAACTTTAAGGGGTTTATTTATTAAAGCAACCTTTACACTCAAAAATCAAATTCTACCATTGCATCCCTCCATGTATGATGATTAATAATAACATAGACATGTCAGGTGTAAAATGCTGTCATTATAAAATACTTACACTTGCAGAGCATTCATTTCCTGCTTTGAAAGGGCAAAATTACTTCACTTTGCCAAAGCAATGCACACTGGGATTGCCTGGTCATCAGCAGAGCATTGCTGGGAAATCTCATCTGTCTCACAAGATCTCAGGGAAAGGCATTTTCCTCCCCTGAGATGATGTGCTTGGTAACATGTCCTAGTCACATGTCTAGTCACATGTGCCAGAGATCCAGGAAGTAATAGGAGAGCTAGTAATCTGCCCTTAGTGAACATGGCCACTGCCAGAAGACTGGGGAAGAAAAGAGAAATAAGGAATGCAAAGAATACAAAGCCGGCAATTATCTAGAACTATGTGTATGTAGATTGTCATTACTAAACATTTCTAAAAGGTGCGTTTGTTGTTATTTTAAAGATATGGGTAAAGGTCCATTAGTAATGGGGAATGATTTTTTTACTTAAGGGGTCAGTCCAAAAAAATGTGATCCCAGCCAAGTCACTATCTGCAAGGAGTTTGCATGTTCTCCCTGTGCTTGCGTGGGTTTCTTCCTCCCACACTCCAAAGACATGCTGGAAGGTTCATTGGCTTCTGTCTAATTTTGGCCCTTATATGTATACATGTGAGATAGGGACCTTAGATTGTAAGCTCCTTGAGGGCAGGGACTGATGTGAATGTGCAACTATGTAAAGTCCTGCGTAAATTGTCGACGCTATATAAATACCTGCAGTAATAATAATAATAATAATAATGTGAGTTATAAGAAGATCCTGGCAGATGTGGATTTGGAACACTGCATCCCAAAGGGTATCATTCCCCTTTACAGTCCATATATTCTAGTATAACGCAGATGAGTGCTCACAGACCAAAAGGCCACTAGGTGGCATTTCAGACAAAGTGCATTTGAAAGAAAGTGAGCACCAAACCAACGGTTCGAAGTCCAGATACATTTATTGATAAGAATGTACGTAAACAAGCCATTTAGATACAGTAAGGATCAGAATCAACTTTATTAGCCAAGAATGTGGAAACGTACAAGGAATTTATCTTCAGTTTTGGAATACTCTCAACATACTTAGCACGAAAAATACATTTATATGAACTGTATGGATATACACCTACACCTACACCTACACCATGTAATGTTCATACACATTCAGACAAAACCCCCTCCCCCTTTTTATAAATACATACACACACACACAATAAAAATCTCCATTAAAAAAATCTATAAAAGTCTACAACTATACAAAACAACAATTAAGCTACACAATTTCAAGTATTTATTAATGTAGTGGCTTGGAGGTAAAAGCTATTTTTAAATCTTGTTGTTCTGACATACAGTAATATGTAACACTTACCAAGCAATTGAAACAAAACATTTCCTGGATGCGAAGGGTCTACAATAATCTTCTGTGCCCAATTTCTAAGTCGGGAATTAGATAAATCCTGAATTGTGGGCAGATCAACACCAATAATATCTGCGGATCTAACTGTCCACTGTAGTCTGTTCCTATGGTGTTGAGAGGCTGAACTAAACCAAACAGTGATGGAAATACAAAGAACAGACTCAATTACTGCAGTATTAAAGTATTTCAATATTTCTTAAGGCAAATTAAACTTCCCAAGCAGACGTGGGAAGTGAATTCT